ACGAAACAATTGCCATCACAGCCTCAGGTAGCCGCTAGCTTCTCCTCTCCGGATTCCTCGGCGAGTGTATACATATATATTATATATATAGATGATCTCTCATTAAAAGTTGTTGGAAATTAGCGTTTTTGCGTCGTGTTTTTTTAATTCAATTTATAAATTTGAAGAGCAGAGAGAGAGAGAGAGAGCTGATAAATTGTAAAAGATTTTGTCCGAGCAATATCTCTCGCTGGATCGAGAGAGCTATCTCTCGCTATCTGTCGAAAATTATTACGGATGTCTGTTATTATACGGAACCGTTCGTTTCCCGGTGTACGTAAAATTCATTTCGTTCGATCGTATCGCGTCTTCGTCGTATCCTTTGAGAATTAACGCGATCCGGAGACGGATATTTTTACGAGAGACCGTATATCGAAATCATCTCTAGCGTGTCCTCTTACAGTTTTATATACCGTCGGTTATAATTATATATCTTGCACTCCGTAGAATGAAACGTACATAGCGATAGACCGAACGGATAAAATAATTATTTTAATATTTTTTTAGCTCCACATTCGTTGGAAATATGATATAGCGTAATCGCGAGCGTTTCTCTGCCTCGGCAAAGTGACATCGGTTGTTCTAGTTCCGAAGATGTGTCCCCGATGTATTATATAGATTATATAGATTAATTATATAACACGCTATATAATTACCGCTTGCTAATGAAGTTATCGATCGCACTGTGTGTGCGCGCGTTTAATCAGGAAGGTCGAACTATAATAATTCTTACGAGCACGCACGATCCGCTTAATTATTTATCGAGAGGCGCAATTAATCTCGTAGAAAAAAAGAGAGTTTTATTTTTCGCGAGAAAATATCTGTGCCAGTTTCGAGGAAGGACCGATATACTCTCTCCTTGTTCGAAATAGATTAGCTCTCCTGAAACAGAGAGAGAGAGAGAGAGAGAGCATGCAAGAGCATGTAGCAGCGGAAATCAGAAGCAGCACTCAATTCGCAATCGACGGGCTCCGATGGGGCTGCTCATCTCCTTCAACATCTCCCACGTACACGTATCTAATCCCTCGAAACGTATCGAATGCGCGATAAAAAGCGCGCACGAAGCTCGAATTCTCGATTTAGCGTCAAAATAATTAAAAACAATCGTCGATCGATATAATAATATCGACATTAAAGATTAAATTCCAAGATATGAAGTCTAGTCTCAAATGGGGTTTTTCTCCCCTTTAAATTAAACACCGGAACGAGTCGTTTATTATGTTTTTTTTTGGATGCTGAATATGAATTTTAAATTGCTCCATCACGTCACAATTTTGAGTAATTTTTAATTATTATTATTTTTATTTTTCCAAAAATTATTACTACGATATGTGACGTGCGGAGAAGTTTTATTGTAATTAAAATAAAGTATGTTGTTAGGACTTTTAAGGGGATGCTGCCATTGTTCTGTTTTGCCGACTTGAAGTTAGGTTAGGTTTGCTTTTTATTGAATATACAGATTGCAAAGTACGAATCCTTTGATACAAGCTTTTAATCTCATTTTTATTATTCTTTCATGTCATCTCTATTGGGAACGCCATATTTTGTGCACAAATAAACTGCAGAACTTTTGTATTAAATAACTATTGTTATGAGGTGATGCAAACAGTCCATAAAAGCTGTAATTTTTTAACTTTTTGTTTTTTTATACGAAATTACAGCGCTCCCCGTTCATTATTATCAGTATTTTAATTGTGGAGAAGGATTTTTCAATCTGTATAGCCAATAAAAATAAAAGTCCTTGAACTCAAAGTCGGTAAAACAGTCATGGTCAGTATCCCTTTAATCCTTAAAAAGAATTTTGGTCGGTTATGGTTATAAGATATCCATGGTTAAATATGAGCATTGACGATTTACTAAATACCTTTTGAAAATTTTCCATTGAATACGAATTTAATGTCAGATCTGTCAATGAAATATAGGGATATCAAAATTTAAAAAACTGTTTTTTTATATAAATCTTGAGTCTATCATTTTGAATTTGACAATTAGAACACTAGATTTGTATTTAAGATTAAATAAACATACACTGAAAAAATATTTGTGTAAAATTACACGATTATGCTAAAGTCGAAAAAACCCAGCATAATCATGCAATATTGCTACTTTATGGAAGATTATATATATTATAAGTAATTTCATATGAAATATATTCTTATATGTATTTTCAAGCTCAAAAATATTCCACTAAACATTGAATTACACATAGGAAATACTAGTAATGTATGTTATAAATAAAATGGATAAATGCTTATATAATAAGATTCTAATAAAGCAAAAATACTAAATTTAAAATTACAAGTGACTTTTGCATAAAAATAGTAATTTTACCTATATTTTACACACATATATATTTTTACATTAATATGTATTTTCGCTTTAAAAATATGGAAAAAATTACAGCGCTAAAGAATAAATGTTTCCAGTTTGAACAAGTAATTTCCATGTAAAAGTACATGTATTTTTTGAACGTTGCAATCGAAATCTATTTGTTAAATTGTGACCCCGGTAAAAATGTCTCGTGGAATAATTCGGAAAGCAGATTCGCATTGAAAAAAAAAAAAAAAAAAAACTATAAGAAACTGCTAGTTCTTTTTTCGTCTAACAGTGTTATATTTCACAGAGCTATTTTTCTCCTTCAACGCGCTCGGCGGATTTAGCGAGAAAATATACAAGATATTCGTCGATGGATCGATCCTCGCGAGAACTCGCGTGTTATCCGGCGCGAGCGAGTACGATTACATCTCGAGTCGATCGGGCGGCGATCGGCTTTATGTTTCTCGAGAGGTATTTTTCTCTCGGCGGGATACGAAGCGCGCATGTCGAAGTTATCCCTCCGAAAATAAAGCCTCGGTCGCGAGCACGAAGCTGCCGTTCGTGGCTCGGGCCACGACGTAAAGGAAGTTGCTCAACGACCGTTGCCTTTACTGTTTATACGATCCCCAATCCAATCTCCAGTCTGGGGATCTTTGAGAGAACGAGTCAACTTTTGGAGGAGTGTCACGACTCCCGGGCTGTCTCCTCCGATACTCGAGAACGAAATTACGATAACGAGGGATTTCGTAGCACGTTACACGATCCTCTCTCGCTCTTTCGTTCGTCTCCCGTCTCTCGCTATGAGATTCTTAAATTCCTAGAAGTGTGCTAACTTCCAGAAGTAACTTTCGCGAAATCTGGGAAAGAGAGAGAGAACGCGTTGGCATGGAAAGGAGGAAAGAGAGACGGAATTGGCGATAGTAATTGTGAGAATCTAGTCGGCGTTTTGCTGTTGACGAAATTGGAGAAATATATAACAAGTGCAACAACATCAGCAGCAATATCAGTAAGAAGCGGGGAGCAGCAGTAACCGTTTGAGATCGGTACGATTATTGTTTCCAGCAGAGTTTCCGCAGAGTCTCCTTCTCCCTTTCTTCCTAGCTCGCTTTCTCGGTCGTGACACAATTGGCGGAACACACACGGCAGTTTCAGTCTCGCGTATGTAAGGCAACTTACCCCTGGCTCTACGGCCGCCACTTGTTGCAAAAATGATAATGAAGTAATAACGGAAGAAATCGCTTACGCGATCGTTGCGGATTTTCCGCTCTTCCGCTTTCGCAACGATACCCTCGACGAAACGACTAAATCGCGCTGGACGGAAATTGCGAAAGTGTCCGAATTTATGGAATCGAAAGGTCCCGCGTTCAAAGAGCCGGTAATGGAGGAAAATAATGACGGATGCGAAAACACACACAGATATAGATTTTTATATCGACCATTGGACTTTTATTTCTCTCGTCTCTGAATAAAAATATTTATATGTACATACATTTATATGTAAAATTAATCAAACATGTTTTATATCTTATTGTATAGATATTAATATTTTTTATTGTGATAAATATTAATCAGAGAAACTCTTATAAAATTTTTGCAATATTATCTCACAATGATTACCATGATTTTCAGGTAATGATTCAGGTTAAATTATATTTCTTAATAAATTTTGTAGATAATTAATCAGAGAAATTTTAATAATTCTTTTAGAATTTGCCCTGAAAATTATGGTAATCATGGATAATATGGTATTGGAAGAATTTTATGAGTTTCTCTGATTATAATATTTACCACAATAAAAATATTAATATGTACATAGTAAAATTAATCAAACATGTTTTACATATTATTGTATAGATATTAATATTTTTATTATAGTAAATATTAATCAGAGAAACTTTAATAATTCTCTTAGAATTTATCCTGAAAATCATGATAATCGTGGGACAATATGATATTGGAAGTAGAACTTGTGATTCTAACCGATTAGTTGATTAATTGAAAATCGATTAATCGGTTAAATATGGTTTCAGTTAACCGATTAATCGCTGAAACTGATAAATTATTATTAGTTGAATAAATCTTTTTTTTCTATTTTTTAAATTTTTATTAGAATTTTATAGTAATATAATAATTGTGCAGTATTTGTACATGTCTAGACAGAAAAAAGAAATGTCAAATTATACTCATATTAACGCAATTCATTGTTCTATACATAAACAATAATGTTAAAACAAAATAAATATATTAATCGACCGGAATAACTGATTTAAAGATTAATCTATTTTAATCGGTAAATTCATTTTTAACTGGTTAAAGGATTAATTGAATTAATTGGTTTTCACGAACCTTAATTGAAAGAATTTTATGAGTTTCTCTGATTAATATTTACCACAATGAAAAATATTAATATGTACATGATAAAATTAATCAAACATTTTTTATATGTTATCGTGGATATTAATATTCTTTATTGTGTTGCAAATTTTTATCAACGAAATTCTAATAAAATTCTTCTAATACCACATTGTGTTCCATGAGTACCATAATTTTCAGGATAAATTCTAAAAATAAGTTCTCGTTGTGTTATACGTATTATACAATATACACAGACATGTATATACATAATTTGAATATTTTGTTTTCAGATCCATGTATTGTGTACGTACTACAACTTCGTTGTTGCCCCTATCGGTGAGTGAGAAATTGTATATTTTAAAATTATTTTTGTCCTGCGTTTTAATAATGTTTTATTTCAGTAAATAATAATCGGAGAAAAATTCTTATAAAATTCTAATAAAAATACCATATTGTCCCCATGATTTTCCGGATAAATTCTAAGAGAAAATTCTCCTCGTGTATATATGTTTACGTCGAGGACAATCGAAAATCGCATTTCCGGCGTGCCACATATATCGACGCAAGAGTCAATATCAATAAAATAAAATATCTCGCGCATTATCTTACAAAATTTTATATGAAATAATAATCGCGCGCGACAACTTTCGGTGAGAATTTTTTCTTCCCTCCATCATTCTGAATACACTTAATCTCTCTTGTTACACTTACATCATCTGCACGTATAATCCGGTAAAATTAGACTTTGACTTCAACAAAATTATAATCAAGCTGAATTTTTGTGGAGATCTTTATTTCGATGTTCTAATAAAATCCTGAAAAGTACTCTTAATTTCAGTCAGAACGTATTTGCCATTATTTAGAAAACTATCAATTTTTCGAGAACAATAGTTATTATCAAAATTGTAGTTCATAAAATCCCCTATAAATAAGGTCCTTATACTTTTTTTCATGGAATTAATCGTTTCGAAGATATAGAGCGAATTAAGTCTGAAAAAAAAATTAGAAATATTGCAACTTTACCGCAGGTTTTACTCAAAAACGATTAGTTGTACGAGAAAAAGTGTAATGACCTTTTTTGTAGAGAATTTCATGAGCTACAATTTTGATAATAACTATTTTTCTCGAAAAATTAATAGTTTTCGAGATAATGGCAAAAAAACTGAAATTCAGCTTGATTATACTTTTTTTGAAGTTTTCAAGTCTAATTTTACCGGACTACAGTATACATACACCCCGGGGGAAAGTTTGCAATTCACGAAGAAATTGCTGCGTGATCGTTCGCGAATTCCCCGGCTTTGTCGGCAGACGGGATTTTACACCGCGATGTTATTCTTCGCCGACCGGATCGGTCTTCTTCGGTATCTTGAGCGACAGAGCGAGAGAGAGAGAGAGAACTTGCGTTTGCCCAGCGAAAGAAAACGATTCGCGTTAAATGCAAACCGCGCACTTTAATCTATACTTTAATCCCTTAAGTCCCGCATTAAGTTGCACACGCGGTTACACGAGCGCGAAGTTTCTCCACGGGCCCGCGAGGCTAACGCAACTTGGACAGCGACCAAGATTTGTGCGTCCTGGGAGAGATCATTATTATCGATCTTCGATGTCGAGATTAGTTTAGGAAGTTCCGTTCGGGGAGATTTGCCGTTAAAAGCGGGAGCTTCGACGTCCTCGTCGTCTCTTGGAGCAATAATGCCTTCGATGCGCCCTGCCGCTTGCGCTAAATCCACGTCAATCAATCGGGGAATTAATGGAAATTTTTTCAGACCCTCTTGGGGATCGATATAATATCGAGCCCCCTCGATGGAGAATAAATTAGTCGAATCGATAGAAAAATCAATTCCTGACGTCGGGTTGGAAAAAACGAAGACAATGTGTATATTAGAGGGAAAAAGGAGAAATAGTCCGCGTCAGGCAGACGTCTCTCTAGAGTGGAACTTTTACGATATTTCTGCGGGCAATGCTGTTTTTCGCGGGAATGTATTTTACAGCGCCAAGCTAATCTCGCATAGGCGAAATATGACTGTCACACGCGCGGCGAAAAATTATGAAATAATGTCGGCGAATTCTCCTCCTCTGCCTGTTCAGTTTGGTGAGTGACGGGAAAGTTGTAATACCTGAAAAAAGGTATTGCCGTAATTGCGCGAAATATGCGGCGAATGTGTTCCCGAGGCGCGTGAAATCGCGCGAAAAATAGAATCCCTCTTCTTCGGCGGGAAATATTTCGCGATTTGAATGTATAAATCGCCACGACTGGGTCTTCGGAAGAAAGTCAATAGACACGTCGTCTCGTCGCTGAGTTTTCCCGAGTTTCGGGGGCCTCCTTCCTATCGTGTATCACCCCGAGCTCGTGAAACTGTCTTGATAAGCTTCTTTAGCATATAATATCCTAGGTGCGTTCTCCCGTCGAAGAGATAGGACATCTTGAGAAGACAATTTTGATAGTGCCCCGGGCGACGATTTGATAATAATCTGCCATCGACCATTACTTCATTACATCACGTAGCGTTACGTTAGCTGGTACTTGGCAAAGTTAGATTGTTAAGCGCGCGAGAGAGAAATTGAATTGCGCTCTCGAAGGGAGGGAGCTCGAGCAGGTCGCGTATCGGGAAAAATATAAATACACACGCGGATAAAAATCTTAATCCGTTGATGAGATATCACATAAATGTCCGACGGACGCGCACGCTAAAAATGATAAACGTCACGGCCGGGAATATGGCCGGAGAATAAATATCATGCAATTTCGTAGTTATGTTTGACTCTAATTCCTACATACGAGAGGCTGCTCCTCATATAATCCTCGTATATCTGTATTTATTATTACATTTATTTGCGCTAATAGCGGCGTTTTTTTTCTTTTTTTTTTTAATATATCCCTCGCGAAAGTATTCTCCCCTCTACGTGCTTATCGTTTATCGATGTTGATGTAATTCGTTAACAAATTAATACCGATGACAGGCGGGTCAAGTAATTGATCGCGAGGTTAATTAATTTTAATATTTAATTTATTTCGCTGAGCGAACGAGTACACACGGGTTTTACGTATTTGAAAAATATGCGTTAGTGCGCGAGATTAAAAGGCATTTGTACGAAATAATTTAATTACAATTCCAGGGTACAAGCCGGGGCATTGCGAGAACGTGTGCGCCGCGTAACACTAATTCTAATAATGTTATCGATTCTGTCTATGACGCGAGAATGGAGAGCGATTAAATTCATGCATTGGAGCACTCAATGCCGATATATACACTCGTCGGAGAATAGCGGCCGCCGCAATGTTTGAGAACTGCTGTATATCGGGCGAGACACATTGCGTTATATGTCTAAAATGTATTATATAGTATAGTCCAGTAAAATTAAACTTGAAAAGGGCAAAACTTGAAGAAAATTATAATCAAGCTGAATTTTTGGGGAGACCTTCATTTCGATGTTCTAATGAAATCCTGAAAAGTATCCTTATAATTTCCGTCAGAGCGTTTTTTATGGGGGATAAAAAGGAGTGAATTTTAGTTTTTTGCCATTATCTCGAAAACTATGAATTTTTCGAGAAAAATAGTTATTATCAAAATTCTAGCTCATGAAATTCTCTACAAAAAAGGTCATTATACTTTTTTTCGTACAACTAATCGTTTTTGAGTAAAACGTGCGGTAAAGTTGCAATAGATAGTCACATACTATATAATACCGTAGTAATGTACACATTTTCTTTCAGACTTAATTCGCTCTATATCTTCGAAACGATTAATTCCAGGAAAAAAAGTATAAGAACCCTTTTTGTAGGAAATTTTATAAACTACAATTTTGGTAAGAACTATTTTTCTCGAAAAACTGATAGTTTTTGAGATAATGGCAAAAAACGAAAATTTACCCCCTATAAAGAAACGCTCTGGCTGAAATTAAGAGTACTTTTCAGGATTTCATTAGAACATCGAAATAAAGATCTCCACAAAAATTCAGCTTGATTATAATTTTTTAAAGTCAAAGTCTAAATTTACTGGACTAATTATACTATCGGTTTATCAATCAAAATCGGGCCGGCGCGAACGCGCCGATCTCTCTCTCTCTCTTCTTATCTCGCATTCGTAATCGTACGTGTCCTTAAAAGACTCCCTCGATGGCGGCGCATCCCTATCGCGCGACAGTTCGGAAGATTCCGCCGAGATACAGGAAGTAAACGTGTGCGAGCTTAATTTTACGAGCGAAGAAGAACGGAAGCGTTTCTCTCCGAAATTTCGGCCGATCGATATCTGAAGGAAAGAGAGAAGGAAAAAAAATTAGAGTTACTCTCCTGCGGAGAGAGAAAGGGTTTGCGAGAGATCGGTGAACGACTTTCTTCCTCTCGTGTCGTGGATATCGCCCTCGGAAAATTGTCCGTACGTTTAAAGTAACGCGTGTAAGCCGCGGCTTTAAACGCTTATCGCGATTAACACTTAGTCCGGAACAATTTAAACTGCTGCCTGCACTCGGCCGTATGTGGGACGTATTTTTGCTGGGTATTTTGGCGAAAGGATCGGTACTGTATGTGAGATAGAAGCGGAAATGTTACCAATTATGTGTGTAATTGAACAGCGCGAGATATTTAGAGATGAAGGTTAATTATTAAATTAAAGTTATTTAACGACATTACGAATACAGATGCAAGAAGAGAGACATCGACTGAAAATGTCTACACAGAGGGAATTTTCTCTTAGAATTTACCCTGAAAATCATGATAATTGTGGTATAAGAGTTTCTTCGATTATTTACTACAATAAAAATATTAATATCCATCACAATAAGATATAAAATATGTTTGATTAATTTTCTAAATATAAATAAATATATAATATTAATCAGAGAAATATCTGGTGAATATTAATCAGCGAAACTCTTATAAAATTTTTCCAATACCATATTTTATTATTACCACATATTTACCACCAATAAAAATATTAATATCTACCATATATATTAATATCTACCAATAATAAGATGCAAAATATGTTGATTAATTTTACTAATATGTACATAGTAGTAAAAATTACTATGTACATATTAATATTTTTTATTGTGATGAATATTAATCAGAGACATTCATAAAATTCTTTCAATATTTTTATTTTATTATTACGACATATTATTTACCACAATAAAAATATAAATATCTATCAATAAGATATAAGATATAAAATATGTTCGATTAATTTTATAATAGTAATATATACATACACTGAAAAAATTATTGACTTTGATTTATTTATTTATTAATAAGTCATTCATTTGAAATTAATATTAATTTGATATGAAAAATATTTATTTGAATAAGAACATTCTTTTCAAAACAGCAGGTAAAT